TAGCGTCGCCTTCTGTGATAACTTTTAAAGTCAATAAATATATTGGTTGTCTTTGCTTTTGTACATGGCAAGCCACTCAACCATGATTAACTTGGAATACTAAACTGAGTTTTTCGTCTTTTTTCCCAGAGCTTTCGTTCTAGATTGAAAGTATTGTACAGAATGATTACATTTTTTTTCCGTTATCGGACCCGCTGTGAAAAAGTTTGGTGATCTTTGTTCCATATCATTTTCTTGCAGTTCTCCAGAACACTAACCCTAACCTTAACACAAATTTATTTCCATTATTTTTTAAAATACTTATTTCTTCTTTTCAATATGAATTTTATGCGATTTGTAATCTGATCCGATCAGATCTATTCAAAAGTGTAAATCTAATGTTTCATAAAACAAATTATCTCAAATTTGTATGTGATTCATTTCAAGAAATGTATTAATATTTGAAAAACAAATATGTTAAGGTCCACTCAGATTTTTGTGGATAATTTATCGATAAAATAATTGGATTGAAAAATTCTATTAAAATAGATAATCTTTGATAATGTACCAAGCAACTAGCTTGATGTGTTGGCCTATGTATTTCATCCAGTCCCCTGTAGCTGCAGCCCTCCTGGGGTACAAAGTTTTGAGGCTGATGTCAGGCGAGGCAGAGAAGGAGGAAAGTGGCCTAGACACTGAAAACGATAAGAGGCTAAGCTGCATGCTGTAAGTTTCAAACCCATAAAACTCATAATGGTAGTGACTGGAACTTCATAGCCTTTGAATTTCAACAACAAATAGTGAAACGTCCTAAAAGAATACAGGGTAATTGAGACGCGTAAAGCGTGGGGCAAAAATACGTGGCAGGAAGATTAAATAGGTTGACAGTCCTCACGTAAATATACGTGCCTGTAATTGACAATAATAGTCTCAAAAGCCATATAAAAAAAAAGATTTAATTATTGTAGACCCACCCATCGTCGCAACAATTAAAAAAAAGGCAATTGGTAGGATGCCGAATGGTAGAGCAGCAATAATGATATACAGGCTGAAAACTAGGGGGCAGAGAGAGGCCTGGCCGGTTCACCAAGACTGAGATGGATTGCCGATGTAGAGAAGGTATTACATCAGATGGGGGTCCGCGCATGGAGGAGGAAAGCCAAGGATCGACCCTAATGGAAGGATGTGGTTAGGGCAGGCCAGGGCCCATTATGGGCGATAGTGCTACTGATGACGATGGTAAATCGTAAATACACGACGTACTGTAACTGAACCGCTTATCCTCTAAACCATTTCAATTTATTAAACTTATATTGTCTCTTTTGATTCCGTTATCTATTCAAATCTCTGAAAGAAAAACAACATATCGTGGAACGAGAGCTCATTAGGACTTCCCCAACATAACCCTCTGTCCCCAAACCCGAACAGCTTTGACTAGTCAGGCCGCGAAGCAGCACGCTGGAGTCACTCCTTGGCTGATACAGCCCCACCCGCCTTCCACTCGATTTATCATGGAGGTGGGGCGACCACAGCCAAGGAAAACCTGGTTGGTTGGTGGCACTGCTCTCGCAGCACAAGCAGTCGAATATACTAGGAACTAGGATGAATATAATTTAACATCCAAAAAAAGACCGCATTCCACACCGCGGTGGCGCCAGATGCCGTCTAATGGAGATCCTAAACGTGGTTCTACTTTGTGATTATTTCACATAGTAGCTGGGACGAAACGGTTGCCTAGGGACACTCTTCTCAAAGGTTGTATGATAGTATCTTCGGCATGGGCTGCCACAAACCACCCGTGCTTTATACCCAATAACGGCAACAAGTAATCATATCCCGACCTGTTTCTGGCTTTGATTTCAACTACACTGGGTAGATAAGATGCAGCTGTGCTCTGTCTAACGCAGATTCCATGCAAAAGCTTTGTCTCTGCCTCGAGGTACCCAACATGGAGATATTGTACCTTGGATAACGCCGGGGGTTCGGTGGCAGCTCCTCTCAATCGACAAGCCATAATGGGAGGGGCACGCCGATGATAGCCCCTGGGGTGGGATAGGGTCATTCCGTTCATTTACTACATTTAGTTTGAAATCAAATCTTCCAAATCAAATATTAAAATGTTGTAACTAATAGTTAAGTTTCAAAAAAGAGAATGATTATATACAATTAAGATTAGTTTTGTATGTATTGGAGCGTTATTTAGAGAATCACCGTGGCAGGAATATCACTAGAATGAATGTTTACAATTCCAAAAAAAAATGTAATCGAATATAATTACTAGAATGAATGTTTACAATTCTAAAGAAATGTAATCGAATATAATTGCAAACATTACCTATTTTCTAAAATTTAAATTCGAACCCATGTGTGCAGGTTGAAAATTTTTAAATTCACAACAAGAGACCAACCGAATGTAATTTTCTTGTTTTGGCCACAACCAAAGAGAAAGGTAAAAACTATATTCGCCCCAAGCCGAAGGACGACACCGAGACGGAAAGATATATAACCCAGCGCAAGATTTAATTACTATGTCGTGAAATAATGAAGCAAAATAAATAAATAAATATAAACATTCTCAACAATATTTTACTCCGTAATACAGGAATAATCATTACGAGCCTAGGCTTGTAGTTAAAGTCGTTAAATGGCAACCTTTGCAGTGTGAACCAAGTAGTTATTGAAGTTCAACAAAGGAATGTTGCAGTTCGGAAACAAGAGTGTCTCCACATTATCGTCGAGTAGGGATTCTGCTGTCCTGCCGAATTAAACAGCTTGCACTGCTAGTGGGCGCTGCAGACCAAACACAATTAGAAACACAAATTATAATAGAAATATTAACATTCCTTTAGTTTTTTTTCCCCAACAAAACTATTTACCTTTGCTTAATTCTACTCGTCATTCCAGTTTAGAAAATATCGGAGAAATAACTGCATCATTCAGCTGTGAGCAATGTTCGCAGAGGATTAGTCATATATCACACCATGAAAGCAAGGCGTCCAGCAATAATGAATATCATATTGCGGGCCAATAAACAGACAGAAAGACCGTCTGACTTCTGGTGAATGACCGAAACCTAACATGAACCGAAAGTTTGACCGAAACCGAAACAACGCCGAAGAAAAAAAAATCTTTATGGGACCGTTCGGCGCCGAAACCAAAACCAAAATTCAGTCGGCATTACTTTTAAAACTCTCCTGTATTTGAAAAAAACGAAAACTCTTAAAAGAATTTTTACAGCTACAAGCTACTAAGTGTAAAAATAATTATATTTGTCCTATATTTTGCAAACAGCTATTTTGAAAAGCAAGCAGTGAAAGGAGTGAATACCTGCTACAAGTGCAACCCAAAACGAACGGTTGACCTACTTGGAATGAGAAGACAAGGTTGGGGTAATACAACATACTTTGAAATCGCCTACACTGCAAAATGTAACGAATTCCTCTCAACGGACCCATGCCATGAAATCAGTAAAAGAGTCTGGTTCTGGGGCACGGCAGAGGTAAAGTATTTGGGTACATGGGGAAATTGTAAACAGTTACAGCGTTTTGTTTTGACTCCCTGCAAACTGTGTATTTGCTTAAATGACAGCCTGTAAAAATGGTACTGAAACATAAGAACAAGGTATGCTAGACTTGAAGACATAGCAGGATAAAAGATGTTTACGTTTCGGCCTAGAACCTTCATGAGAAGCCAAGACAAAAAGAAGTATGACAAGTATCAGATCACATTTAACAAAAAAAAACAAAAAAAACAACAACAACTGGAGGTAGGATTAAAAGTAAAGCAATTATTAAAATGGTGCTGAGAGCCTGTAACCTTGTTATCGACCGACTATAACCTATCAATAGACAGCCTGTTAACTCTTAACTGACAAAAGGGGCGAATTATTCGTTCTTGAAAAGTAAAATGATATTTAAATCCGTGCAGTAAATAAAAAAACAAACAAACCGTAACTTATGGTCTGAAATGTTATAATCATCACTAACTCTATAATAATTTTAGTTCCCAACCCCATATTTCTTCAGGGAGAGCCCGAGTCTTACCCAGAAGGCCCCACTCCAAGGACCATGTACTATGCTGATCAGGTACTGCTGCATTTTTGTTACTATTTAAAAATAAAACGATGCTAGTGAGATAACACATAAACTGAAGAAAGGCTTATCTAACTGAAACCTTCTAGATAGAACTGTTCGCTTCTTGCGTTTCGTATTACACCAGTGAGATAACACATAAACTGAAGAAAGGCTTATGTAACTGAAACCTTCTAGATAGAACTGTTCGCTTCTTTCGTTTCGTATTACACCAGTGAGATAACACATAAACTGAAGAAAGGCTTATCTAACTGAAACCTTCTAGATAGAACTGTTCGCTTCTTTCGTTTCGTATTACAAAAGACATATTTCTGATTTTGAAGCGTCATTCAGCTCATTGTCTAAGACGAAAAAAAAACAACTGACAGAACTGACGGTGTAAGGTGCTCAAAACGCTACCTGCTAACACCTGTAATATGCTCCCACACAGCTGCAGGTGCTCTTTTCATTTAACGACTTTAAATTCATTTAAATTCACGTTATATTCACGTTAAATTCTCGTTATATTCACGTTACATTTCATGTTATATTCACGTTGTTGTCACATTATATTTCAAATTATATTTACGTTACATTTCACGTTATATTCTCGTCACGTTTATGTTTATTCACGTGATTCCCGTTATATTCCCGTTATATTTACGTTACATTCCAGTTATAATCACTTACATTTTATGTTATATTCACTTCAGATTCCCATTATATTTACATTACATTCCCGTTATATTCACGTTACTTTTCGTGTTATATTTACATTAAATTTCACGTTATCTTCAAGCTACATTCACATTATATTCACGTTAAATTCACATTTAAATCACTTAATATTGACGACAATTTCAACATGCTACACATCGTCTTCTTCCAGATCTCCAGGGTAGCCTATCTTTTGATTTATGGTCTGTTACTCGTGAGATACTTGGAAACCAAAACCTTTCAACCCCTGGAAGGAATTATCTGGGCTCTGACCTTCTTCGAACTCTTGAATATTGGAGTTTCTGTAAGACACATTAAATATTTCATTAAATTTTCAAGCGGATAATAATAATTTCAGTATTTTCAAAATTAATTCACACGTGAACACCAATGAAGATTAAGAAAACCAAAACATGTGTCGCACCAGTGTTACGTTTATAATTTTTCGTATATACAATATTTGCATGCTTGCAATTAAAACATAATTTGAAGAAATAATGTTTTGATTAAATCAATTATATTTGAATCCTTTTATTACACTTATATTCATTTGATTTTGTGTAAAACGGATTTACATTTAAAAGCAGTGATTTATTTATTTGTGTCTGCTTTGTCCCAAAACTGATGACAGGATGGTGAAGAAATAATCAAGTGTGGAGTCTATGTATAGTTTGTATGACCGTGTCTGTGTATGATTGTGTCTATGCATAATTATAATTTTATATGTCTATGCATGATTTTATCTGTGCCTGATTGAGCATGTGTATGATTGTGTCTGCGTATGATTGTGGATATTGTTTTTTTTAAAGCGTTACGCCATGAAATTTTAACACCAAGTTAAAGGATCAAGAAAATTTAAATAATCATTAAGTTGAAATTTACAGTAGTTCTGCTAATGTATTCTTTGTGTGCTTTAATGAAACTGCAAGTCAATGCCCATTTGGTTATTGTTTTGTCATTTCGTCACTCCTGTCAAGGTGTGAGAATCACTGCGCTTACGGTGACCTTTTTGAGATCCATAAGTCAGAGTCTAAATGTTATTGGTTGAAAAGGAACATGTGACTGGTTGTAGGGGAACACATGCCTGTTCAAAAAGGGAACACGTGACTGGTCGAAGGGAACATTTGAGTGAGGATGTATTAAGTAACAATCAGTTCACGTATTACTACTTAGTAGCTAAGAGTTCTCAGTGATCGTCAGTTCCCAGCAGCTCATGTGTTGCCGAGTTTGTTTAGATTGACCATGTTCACTGGTTTAGATTAGAGTTACCATCGTGAAGTTATGCAGGAGCGTCAACCGTCGTTTGTTTAACGTTTAAGTTCAGGATTTCTCATTGTCAGAGATATAACTTGGTGTTTCGAACACGAGGTAAAAGGGAGATCTGTATGCAATGGTCAAGTTGCTGACGTTATCTTGTGGGAGAAAGTGCTGTTTGAGAACTTAGACAATGAAAGCCAGAACCGCCCAACTGCAGGTTGGAGTGAGCTCGTTAGTTGTATTGAAGGGATCTGTGCGGATGGCAGAGAAGAGCCACAACAAGAACCTCGATCACTCAAAATAGATGGTGTCTAAGCAAATACATTGACTGAATGCTGTCAAAATAGATGGTGTCTAAGCAAATGCATTGACTGAATGCTGTCAAAATAGATGGTGTCTAAGCAAATACATTGACTGAATGCTGTTAAAATTAGATTGTGTATAAGCAAATACATTGACTGAATGCTTTCAAAATTAGATTGTGTCTAAGCAAACCCTTAGAAGAAATGCTGTCAAAATACATGGTGTCTAAGGCAATACTAAGGCTGAATGCTATCCTTCTTACATAAATATAGATTGCATCCAATTTTTTTTTCTGATCAGCTCATATTCCGAATTGCACGACCGAACTCTAAATGTAATAAATTCATTTTCGTCACTTGCTGAAATGTTTTATTTACAAATTAAATGCATTTTTAGGCTGTTTCTAATTTAATCTGTATATTTATTGTGCTACATGCTTTTAAGGGAGACTTAGCTGGACTGCTTGTATTTCGTAGAAGAAACTCTCTACGCTTGTACACATCCACAACTTTTATAGTCGCCTGGACATTACGATACCTGGCCTACTCCAGCCAGGAAAACGAGTATCTGATGAGCTGGGCCAGGATGGCGTTTGGTTTGAACTACATCGGCTTCTCCGTTCGTTTCCTCCACGGCTACTACGCCAATAAAAATTTGGGACCAATGATAGTCATGTTCAAAAACATTGTACGTATTTTCATCTTTAAATAATTTTATAAAAATTGTTCAGTGTCATACCTGGTACCAGAAATGAACTTTTTTTGGGGTATGTGGTGGGGTGGGGGGGGGGTTTATCTTAAAAAAAAAATTTCAAAAACATTGTACGTATTTTCATCTTTAAATAATTTTATAAAAATTGTTCAGTGTCATACCTGGTACCAGAAATGAACTTTTTTTGGGGTATGTGGTGGGGTGGGGGGGGGGGGTTATCCTACAAAAAAAAAGGAAATCATGTGAAACTGCACAAACATATCGGTTTTACTTGCACTTAATCGATCAGAATATATGTTATGCTAAAATGTGGGTATTAGGTAATACATAATACACTTTTGATATTGAATTCTAAAATCTATAGACATTTTTTTATTTCTTATGTTCAAACTCTCTTTCTCTTCTGGTTAATCTTCTTCTCTTTTTCTCTATTTATCTCTCAAACACATACACACACACAGAAACATACACACACACAGAAACACCCACACACACACACATACACTGCATCTATTACGATTTCTATCTGTTACTGGATATCACTATTTTGTCTCGTTCATTCCACCCCCCCCCCCTTTTTTTTTCTCCCCTCTCTCTCTCTCTCTCTCCTAAACACTCTCTCTATCTTTCTTCTGTTGTTTTCCTTGCCACGATTAAATGTGTTTAGCGCCGCTTGTATTTTCAATTTACTTCAACATACGTAATGCCTAGTTCATAGGTCACCAGGGCTGTTCATATGTCACCAGGGCTGTTCATAGGTCACCAGGGCTGTTCATAGGTCATCAGGGCTGTTCATAGGTCACCAGGGCTGGTCATAAGGTCACCAGGGCTCAGGGCACTTCTAATTGAAACAAATTATTATTATTTTTCCCCAGGGATATTTTCTGCTTCAGTTTTACGGTGTCATCCTGATATTCTTCATCTCCTACGGCGTGGCCTCCCAATCAGTCTACTTCCACGGGTCCAGGTATGATCCGTTGTTGATATTTTACCAGTCCTTCTGGACCATGTTGGGACAGTACCCTCTCCTGGACGAGATTGGATTTAAAGGTAGGCTTTAATTATTTTTTTTAATGAAACCGTTAATCAGGTTTTAGTGTATTATAAGGTTGTTTCCGAGGATATCATTAGCGACAAGAATAATGTATTATTTTGCCCTTACTATTGATCATGCAAAAATGAGGTTTATTTAGTCAGTAAATTATATGTTTAGTACTGAGTTGGTGGCAAGCTTACATGGTAAACACAGAGAAATCATGCTGTAAGACAATTGTCACGGCTTCGAGATATAACGGAATCTCAAAAGCTGAACTTATTATAATTTTTTTTAAAAATTTTAATGCGACAAGAGTGAAACAAATTTTACGTTTAAAAAATACTTCATATTTATTTTCCATATGTTTTTTTACAACTTTTAAACCATGTTTTTGTTCCAAATAAAGGTGCTGAAGAAAGTTATGAGTGCACAAGTGATGATTGCCTTACAAGGGCCGAGAGATATTTCCTGGCCATCATCCTAGGAATTTATGCCGTCATCATAAACATTTTGTTGTTTAATCTTCTCATTGCCAAGTTCAGGTAAGCCTCGAGTTATTTGTGCTGTGTTGCTATAATTTATTTTAAATGAAATCAGGTTATAAACTAAGACATTCTTTTTATAGCCTTTACATCAGCAAATCGTTTTATTACATTTTCTATATTTATATTCGTTTCCATATCACTTTCTATTAACATAATAGCCAAAGACCTCATTCTGTCTTGAGACATGGATGATCGTAAATATGTTCATATCAGCTTTAGTTTTTATACAGCTTCTCTCGCCAGCGGTTACAGTAACAGGTCTCTTGCCAGCGGCTACAGTAACAATTATTGTAAGCATTGTCCTTAATGCACCCCACACATGGGGCATGAAATCCTAAAACTTATTAGTGTTTATGAATTGAGCGGCTTCTATTGGAAGCTTCATATCATAAGGAAATATTTCTTTGGCCTTAGCTTGTTCAGTCAACAGATGACATCCATTTACATCGCTATTTTCTTGATACATTTACTTATATTCCAAAAAAATAAATAAATTGATATGCTACGTAGAGCTTATTTTTGTCTGCTAGATTTCTAAGACATTTAAAAATCCCCATGTGTTATTGGAAATTTGCAACTGTTCAAATTTCTCTGATAAAGAATTTAGAGCTCTGTCCCGTATTGCGTGATTTTTATTATTTTTTTTCCGTTTCATCATCTTATTCTTCTATATATTTAGGGCACGCGATAAATTTATTTATCATTCTGGCTCCTATGTATGTAGAGGGGATTTGCATTGTTTCAGTGCCTGGTATTGAAAAGGATACTTCACTGGTTGCAGGGTAGGCCTATCATGAACTGGGTCTGGAAGGCCTGAGGCCTTCGATAGTGCAATCAAATTCAAACATTCATCTTCTCCTTCTTCATCTAATTCTATTTTTTCAAAACATTGGCTCACCATCTAATTCTACCTCTTAAAGTGCCATTAGTTAAACAAAGGAAATTCGAAAAAATACAAACATATATTTTTCTATAAACATTCCATCGGCGTTTTAATATATATGTATGTAAAGAAGAGTTAACTCTAATGATTCAACAAAGGGGGCTCAATCAGTCAAATAAACTCAAGGGACCCGTAAAGCGTAAATTATAATTTTTTTAAAATCTAAAATAAAAAAAAAAAAGTATATCATTATAAATAACATAAAAGAAAAAAAAACATGTAAAAAGATATTTTTTGCGTGTAATTGGTCATTTTAATAAAATAGACATGCAAACAACAAACAGGATTATTTTACTCGTCATTCAGCAATCTCAAAAAATTGTACGATTTTTATTTATATATACAATGTGAATAAATAACAAAATTACAGCAAAGAGAGGTAATCAAAATTACTTACAGATATGATTATATTACAAAAATCACGATTATCATCATTTTAAGATAATATATTGTTTATAATTTAATTATTAAGCTAAACTTTGAAAAAAGAGGCATCGCACCGAGTTTATTGGCCCTAGGGAGATGAATATGCACTATTCTGTACAATACAAAATTCGATTGCAAATTCCGGTGAGCTGCAAATTCGTAGTCACCTTCTCCTCAGCGACGGGTCTACAAATACGTTTCACCACCACGTTAAAACGATCAAGAGTCCCAAAAAGAGAACTACCGATAGCAAAATGTTGACAAATCTACCACCGTCACCGAATCAAAGTCGCTGTCACGAGAAACGGGCACCGTGACGAAGAAAGAAGAACTCGAGGTCCCCTAGAAAGCGGCTTGCTGTGACCCGATACTACTTTTGCCACCACGTCCTGTGCACGGACGTTCGATTTTATGGTGCATGGCATACAAAAGCATTTGACGTTAAAACTTATTTTTCTCTTTCTATGGCGCCCACAAGCAATGCTTTTCTCAGTTTGGGAAGATCTTTGGTGGCCCCCAAGCACATGGCGCCCTGGCCAACTGCCCGAGTTGCCGGTACAATGAGCTGGCACTGGTGGAGAGATTTGTGGGTGGTTACGATGGGATTGGGTTGATTGATGGGTGTGTGGGGGGGGGCGATTGGTGGCTGTGTCTGTGAGGCAATTGTTGGCTGTGCGTGTGGGGTAATTGGTGGTTGTGGGAGGGATGTTGAGAGGTGAATTTTGTAAAAATTCAGACCTAATATGTCAATAACTATCCTCAAGTCTATATGGCTTCAGAAAAAATACAAAAGCTTCTCATATGTCGGACTTACTGAAAAGTCTGACAATGCTTCTAATACAGCTGAATTTCTGGATAGTCTCCCAATACATAAAACATATCTGACTTTCTGGATAGTCTTCCATTACATCGATGAAATAGAAAAACGAGGTATGTGGAAGCTTGAATAAGAAAACAAGACAAAAAGCAAGGACGTTTCGCCATAGAGCCTTCTTCAGCTAACAGTAGAAATGAAAATATAACAAAGAATAGAGCACAGTAGACAACTGAAGAAGTATCCATTCGTGTCGCCAGAAGTGGTAATATATCTGACTTTATGGAGTGTCTCCCAGTACATGAGTGTTACGTAAAGTGAGTATGGCCTATTTACTTATGTTCTTACACCAGTGTGATCTAAATCTTGACACCTCTTGTGAGTGACCTCATTTAAATTTCCCAAACCACCCAAGCCAATGATTGTGTTCCCCAGTGCCATCATTAACATCGACCAGAAGAAGTGGAGACAAACATGGTACATACAGAGTCTTGAGATGACGATCATGTACAGCCGACGCAAGGTGTGGCCTCCCCTTATTGTCTTGTTCCAACCCATTTGGCTTATCTGGGCCCTTCACAAGAGCAGGACGTGCTGTAGTAAGGACAAGAGTCCGTTCAGTGAGTGATAGCTTTGAAACAATATTATGAATTTTAGGAGAAACACAACGATCCCATCTAATATCTCAGTCAAAAGGGTAATCCAGTTATTAAAAAAAATATTGAGATATGATAACATTATAATATTGTAAGAATAATTTTTAAAAAGTAAATAAAATAATTGAATTAATTATGATAATTTAGTTTAAAGATTGGATTCGTATAAGAATACAACGAAGTTAAAATGAAGTTCAAGTCAATGCAGATGAAGCTGAGAATGATGAACAGAGTTATTGTTGCACATCTGCCTTATGGCCACCATCGGTTAAATAAAATAACGGCCATTAACCTTTACATTAAAACATTAACAAACATATCAGGTTAAAATTACCTTTTTGAAAGAAACAGCTACCCAAGACAAGCAGTGACGACTTAAATTTATTTTCAGAGCGTAGGGCTTAGAGCATTGTCTTCTCCAACAAAATATTTTTCTAGAGTTTTGTGTGCCTGTGTTTAGCATCAACGCTTATAATCATAGTGATTAATGAAACAGTTTTTAAGAATCTTAAAGATATGTCTTTTTGAAATCATAAATGTAATTAATTTATACTTTTTTTAATAGATTCTTAAAGGCGTGTCTTTTTTTAATAATACATTTAATTAACTTATAATCTTTATTGTTTCTTATTGAAACGTCTTTTTAAAATAAATCATCTATTTAATTAATTTATACTTTTATATAGATTATTTTTGAAATGTCTTTTTGAAATCATACATTTACTGAATGTTTACTTTTGGTAGATTCTTAATGAAATGTTTTTTTTTTTTAAATAAGCTAATATATAGAAGTTAGTCATTTTATTGTATTAATACGTTTTTTGAAACAAAACTCTACAGTTGTCAAAAACTCAGATTCAATGTTCGAAAGTGATGTCATGAATATGTACATCGACCAGGTTGAGCGGTCAGAAGAGTAAGATCCAAAGTTTGTTTGAGAAAAATAATTTATCGTGAAATTATTTGTTTTGGAGATAAATGTGTGTATGAAGTAAGAATGTGACAAGGGTGAAAACAATGGAAAGTTCATAAATGGAAAGTTCATAATGGAAAGTTAAGAATGGAAAGTTCAGAATGGAAAATTCAGAATGGAGAGTTCAGAATGGAAAGTTCATAATGGAAAGTTCAGAATGGAAAATTGAGAATGGAGAGTTCCGAATGGAAAGTTCAGAATGGAAAGTTTATATTTTTTTAAATTTGTTCTATGAAAGAAGTTAAGAATACTTCACTTGACATTGACGTCAATATTCAATGATTAAAAAACAAATACGATAGATTGATAGTGTATAAACATTGCATTAATATTTTTAGAGTCTTCTAGGCGCGATTATAATTGCTATTATTATCAGGAAATAATAAAAATAAATCAAAGCAGCCAGAATAATATGTTCGACTTTTCTATTATTTTAGTATGATTGTGTGTTTCCTTTCAGAGTTATGGAAAAAAATCCTTTATCAAAATGGTTTGCTGACGATATGGGTAAGAAAATGTTTGATAATATTCCAGAGATATTGTCAAGACAAAAAATACTGATATTTTCAGACGCTTTCCGTGTAAACTGACCTTTGATATGTAAAAATAATAATGGAAAAAAAAAGTATACATTTTATGTCTAACAGAACCTTAAAGAAGATAGCAAGTCGATACTGTTTTTGACGTAGTAGTTATCCATATTTAATGATTATCTGTAAAATCAAAACGCATCTTTCAGTATGCTTGTGACATATCACGGAGAAATAAGTTAAAAAGTGCTAAATTCAAAACTAACAATGATGAAATGAATTCTGTTCAGTACTTTAATGAAATGTTCTGTTAGTTTGGACGCGTTGTACTCAAGGAATCAATATTGTTGACTATGTTCAAACCCTACAGAAACCGAGGCGTTAATGGAGAACGTGGAGATGAGATTACACGATGCAATCTCAAAAAGCCAGAGCCCTCAGCCAGAGATTAAAAAGGTTGATGAGCAGCCAAACCCTCTGGAAGATAACGATTCTACTGGTCAGTATGCGCTGTCATTCATTAAAAACGTCAAAGCTCAAATTGACATGGTTTTGAAATGTTAAAATGAAAGCACCCCCCCTCCCCACGCCCCCTACTCAAATGTCAAGAACAAAGACCCCCCAACTCGATCCACTCTAGAAATAGATGATAAATTATAAAAAAAAAATGTCTCTTGTTAAATTCAGGCTTTCTATTTTCTGAAAATTAATTTATGCAAAGTTCATGGGGTCATATCAATCTAAAATGTGACTGTAAGAAATGATTGTGTTTCACTAAGTCATCTTTTATGAATAAAATATCATGCAACTGTAAATAAGTTATTAAAACATTATTAAAATAGAGTGTTGATGATTACAAATACTCTTGTACACATTGATCAAATGTGAGATAATGAAAGCTTCTACCTACCGTATTACATCACATAAATGTATCTGATTCTTGCTTTTTTTTGAGTTTAAAAATTTACACAATCTACAACAGAACAGAGCTACAACTGTGTAAGTCGTACAATGTGATGGATTAAAAAAAACTATGTCAGTCGGGCCAATTGATGGATTCAAAAACTGTGTCAGTCAGACAAAGTGATGGATCAACGAATTTTGTCAGTCTGACAAAATGATAGACCAACGAACTGTGTCAGTCAGAAAAAGTGATAGTTGTCAGTCGCGCAAAGGGATCCATCAACGAACTGTGTCGGTCAGACAAAGTAATGGATCAACGAACTGTGTCAGTCGGGCAACGTGATGGATCAACATGCTAGACCTAATCAGATCATTAAAAGAAGTCAGTACGAACCAACGGTAGCCTAGTGGGTTGAATGCAAACGTCTTCCTGCTCTGCCCGGGATGTTATCCGGTTATGGGCTAAAATCACAAGGGAGTTTTCTTTCCTTTGGGAGTAGTTCAACCAGTGGCGTATCTAGGGTTGGTGTCACCCGCAGTGGTCCGCACCCCCACCGCCCCCCCCCCCTTAGCTAAGCCGCTGAATTCAAACACGAAGTTGAAAGGCAGCATGCTACTTATCGGGGCGGGGAGGGGGGTTAATTCGTCTTTTGAAACAAAACTGATTTAGTTCCGAACCAGCTAAACAACATCAGCCGGAATAAGTTAGGACAGCCTAGACAATGATTATAAACTTGTTACATAGGGCAGCCAAGACAATGATTATAAACTTGTTACATAGGACAGCCAAGACAATGATTATAAACTTGTTACATAGGACAGCCAAGACAATGATTATAAACTTTTTACATAGGACAGCCAAGACAATGATCATAAACTTTTTAGCGAAGGACAGCCAAGACAATGATTATAAACTTTTTACATAGGACAGCCAAGACAATGATTATAAACTTGTTACATAGGACAGCCAAGACAATGATTATAAACTTTTTACATAGGAAAGCCAAGACATGATTATAAACTTTTTAGCAAAGGACAGCCAAGACAATGATTATAAAATTGTTACATAGGACAGACAAGACATGATTATAACTTTTTAGCAAAGGACAGCCAAGACAATGATTATAAACTTGTTACATAGGACAGCCAAGACAATGATTATAAACTTGTTACATAGGACAGCCAAGACAATGATTATAAACTTTTTACATAGGACAGCCAAGACATGATTATAAACTTTTTAGCAAAGGACAGCCAAGACAATGATTATAAACTTTTTACATAGGACAGCCAAGACAATGATTATAAACTTGTTACATAAGACAGCCAAGACACTCATAATAAACAAGTGACAGTTTAGATCAAATGAAATAATTAAATGGTCACCAAACACGAAGTTAATGGAGATAAATCAAGACATATTTAATTTATAAGTTAATAACATTTTTTTTCAAAATAATTCTCTGTTTAAAAATTGCGCTTATAAATTATTTTTAAACAGAGACTTATTTTGAAAAAAAATGTTATTAACTGCTTAACTGGACAAAAAATAATAGTCATTTATGCTGGATACTTAAAATGAAAATTGTATTTCCTTGTGATCTGATTTTTTCCCTCAGTTCAAGAAGAAAACGAGTCAAAAGCTGAAGAGAATGAGAACGTATCTACTGATCTAAAAGAGGATGTCCATAATGAAATAATGGATCTAAAAGAGGATGTCCATAATGAAATAATGGATCTAAAGGAACACACCCAGAATGTTGTCCATGAAAACTTAGATAAACTGAGCCATAAAATACAAGATGCTTCAGTCGAAAACTACAATTTCCTAATGGAACAACTCAATCTGTCAACTTCAACAATTTTAGAAAGTTTGAGTAAAAACCAACCAGCAGGAGGTAACTTCACTTTTATGGTTTTTATGAGGAACTGTCGGCATAAGGGAACAACGGGAACACAAAAAACCATTGGCTTATAATCACATGTGACACACCAACACCACTGACAGGCAATCATCATTGACGGACACACTTTTTAAAATAGAAAAAAAACCATTGAATAATAGCATTGACAGACACACAACGTTGACAGACAAACAACATTGACAGACACACAGCATGGACAGAAAAACAGCATGGACAGACAAAAAGCATGGACAGACAAAAAGCATGGACAGACAAAAAGCATGGACAGACAAAAAGCATGGACAGACAAAAAGCATGGACAGACAAAAAGCATGGACAGACAAAAAGCATGGACAGACAAAAAGCATGGA